CATAATTCCTGTTGTGCTGTATTTGTGCCTCCAGCCAGTGCTTTAACACGTGGACTCAAATTGTTTTGAGTACCAAAATTAGATGTATTTAAAGGAAAAATGGTAATTGATAGAATTACCTATATATCCCATTAAAAAATTGTGATATTGTGAGAAAATACTTAACAATATTCTGATTTTTAGCTATGTTAGCTAAAGTTTGAAGTGTCTTATACTTAACAGATGTTGCAGCAGAGGTATGTGATGAACTGGGAAGTAACCTAAGTTAATCATTGCAGTTTATTTTTCTTTAAACTCTAAATCTTCTTTGAAAGATACCTCATCTTTTTTAAGCAATAGAAATATAGATGAGAGAACTTGAGTTCAGTATGTAGGTGGAGGAGTTATTTTGTGTTTGCTCTAAGCTTGTAAATCATCAGAATGTTTTAAGCAGCTGCTAACCAATACTGTAAAAGAGCCAGCTTCAGAAAAGGCCAGGAGTTGAAAAGTGGGGATGTTTCAGTTTTGAGAACTTAATACATACGGAGAAGGATGTGTTTTCTTTTTAACCTCTGTTCTCTTTCAGAATAATTCATGTGTGTACTGCACTAAACTTGGAACAAACATGGTACAAGGTGAGAATGGGAATTGGTGGAGAGAGAACCAAGTTATGTCACTTTTTTTTAGTAGCACTTGTGATACTGGCTGTCAGTTCTCAGTCTGATCTTTCAGGCTTACAGGGAGGACAGATTTGTTTCCCTTTTACAGATGATATGTTTGCTTCATTGCTATCTCATCCGTATATGGAGATTACCCCAGAGGGTTTTTTTAGCCTGTCTGGCAGTGGATTGTAATGGAATCAGCTTGTGAAGTAACCCAGTCTGTTTTATGCAAGCATAGCTTGGTATCTTGAGGACCCCAAAGAAGCTGAAATTCAGCTTAAAAGTATCTTGTGGCAGCTCCTGAGTCAGTCACTTTGGAGAAGGGACGAGTACTTCTCTGCGCCCTGCCAAGCACCAGATGCTCAAGTACAATGGCATTATTTAATAGTGACACTTTTGTATTACATTTTTCAAAGTCATCTTAGTAATGGCTGGAGCTTGCTAGTTGTTTGTTTACTGTATAATACTGTACCTTGCGATGGTCGTTAATATTAAATTGGTGTCAAGAGCTCTTATCAGACTACTTTTTAGGGTAGTTTTAATGAAATTAGGATGGGTTTTTTACTTTTATTTCTGTATTTAGGTTTTTGGTTTTGTTTGTGCTTTGAGACAAGTGCAATAAACTAGATTTTTAAGAAATAAATTACTGTGGTAAGACTCATCTGTTGTATGATTCACAAGAGAGTTCTCCGTGTCTGGAAATTGTCTTGATGTGGAAGACAGACATGCTTATGAAACCCCTCCCCTATTATTACACCAGACAATATGGGAATGACAATATAAGGACCTGGATATTGTAAAATTTATTTCATATATTTTTTTGTGACAAGTGTGTCGAACCAGCAAAATGGCCATCTTCCAAGTAAAGGCAATTAAACACTTTTCATATTTGAATATTAAGCGCATTGCCTCCGTATTAAGATGGTCTTGCTGTAGCAGAAGTAAACAAGTTTCTTTCCTTACATGCTGAACAAAAATTGCATTTGCATGTTAAATATTTTAGCTTTCAGTGAAGAATATGCATGTGCGGTCACAGCCTCAAAATGTTCAAGCAGAAAATAGGTGATTGCACCCCGTGCTGTAACTGCACCTTTCCTTGCATTTTAAAATATCTGAGCTGATCTGAAGACTTCTGAGTTTCTGGCCTTTAACTGTACCTGCAGCTGAGGCTTGCTGAGCACCTTGGCTTCACTTCCCAGAGGGGAGAACTGTTTCCTGACAGAGTTGCGACCTGGGTAACTTCACACAAGAAAGCAGAGCAATGATTAATGATGCTTCTGACACTGAAACCCACTTCCAGCCACAGAAATGCTGTTCAGATTCAGATGGCAATGCCCTTGCTAATTATCACAGCTTTTATCTTGACAAACCAGTTCAGCTGCTTCTGCTGGCTCCTGCAGGGTAATGGTAGTCTCCTTACAGCACCAGCCTGTTGCTGTTAGGCAGGAGTAATCCTTATGTCATAGCTTAAGGAAGTTCATGTGGCTGTGATGAGTTGGTGTAAAACAGCCATCTTAGATATATAAGTAACTCTTGTTTTATTTTGTCTTGCAGTGATAAAAAGGAATAGGATCACGTTAAATGGCACAAAGAAAATGTTTCACTAACAAGTGTCAAAGAAAATACATTAATTGCTTAAGTAAGATAATAGAACTGTTGTTAGGAAACACTGCTAAGAAAATTATTATGAGGAACACTTAATTATGGACTTGTGTCATTGTCTAAACATAGCTTTATTTATACAGGTACAAAGAATCACATTTATTCCAAATTCTTCATACCTGTACAAAGTGTCTTTGATGCGATGGACAAGAACTCCCCCCTTCTTCCCCCCCCTGCACATGGACATCAGAAGGTCTGAACCCCATAACTCCTCTACATTCCTTCTCAACAGATGAGTCCTGTCAAGTATCTCGAAGGCAGTTGTGGGTTATTTCAGACTAGCGTGGCATTCCGTCTTATCTTTTTGCTTCTCTCATAAAACTCCCTTTAATGAGTGAGCCGTTGCTAGTTGTTTCTGCTAGATTTCTGGATAGATTCCAAGGAACAACCTTGAGACAACTTTTCAGTAAATGCTGTTCTGAGTGTAAAGGCTTGAAATTCAAGAGCCTGTACGCCTATGGCTTTGCCTTGCTAATTAGCCATTAGAAAAGCATGACTTATATGAAGATATGGAGATCTCCTCGCTACCTTGGTGAAAAATCCCTGGTCTTCAGTTTTTACGTTAACCAGCTGCGTCCACATCCTATCCCTACTGTCAGGAGTAGTGAGATAAGACCTGGATTGAGGTTTTCTAGCTGTAATATGTGAGACACAGGCTTTATTCCTCTGACAGCCTTCCTGAAAGTGAAGGCTGTCTCACATCAGCAGAACAGAAGAGAACTTGTAATATAGAGGACTAGATTTTAATGACTGGAAGCTAGGTGAAATTACCATGATGATTCCTTTGGTCTTTATCTGACTAGAAATCTATTTGAATAGGTCTATCAAAGTTGTTATATTAGCCATAAAGTTAAAATCCGGCTTGTTGCTAGCGGGGAAAAAAAAAGCTGTAGAAAAAAGTAAAGATCTGTTTGAGAAACTTTATGTTCTTATGGAATGTGGACTTTTCATATATATACACACACATATATAAAAGCTTTGATTTCTGTTCTCTAAAAGCTAACAATGATAATAAAATACCAAAAAATGCTAAATCCTTCAAACTGAAAAATGCCCTTTCTTTCTTGGCCCTCAGAAATGACTAAAATATCCTGATTTTTATAGCCTGTGATTCTCTGACAGAGGCACTGAATAGTGCCCAACTGAATAGCACTGAGTGGAGCTGTAGTTATGAATTAATCTTTCAAACATTATTCATTATTTCTGTCCAAATATAGAAGAAACCGGTGACTTATTTTTCCTTTTTAATATACCTTTCTCATAACCTCAGCTGAGATTCACTTACAGCAGATAAGGGAAGGAGACTTCCATTTACAATGCTTGTGTTTTGAATCTCATATCCAGAGAAAATATACCTAAAGATGTGTACAGAATTGTATTACCGTCCTGTACTTACCGTCCTGAATTCGCACAAGTTGACTGCATGCTTTATTTGTATTCGGTGGACCCTGCAGCCTGATCAGTGTCGTGAGCCTTTGCCAGGAGGAGCTCTCTGCTATGAATGTGCCCAGGTACCTTGTGTATGGACTGGCGAAGTGGCAGAGATGTTATGTCTGTTAAAGGATAAAATAAGAATACTCACTGGGTGACTCCTTGCTGAAGTTGTTAGACTGCTGTATTTTGCCTAACCATGGGCTGGATGTATTTAGCAAAGCTCCCCTGGGTTGGGTGAAAGATCAAGCTAATTAGACCTCTCCCAGAAAAAATAAAAGACTGGGAGGGAAAGTTCCAGGGAAGCCCCCAGCAGACTGCCTGGCGCATGTGCCTGGCTACGCAGCAGGGGCATGTACAAAAGAAAAAAAGAATTTGCTTGAGCTGCAGGGGGAAAAATGCAACTGCCAGCAAGAAACCCCGCAATCCCTGGTTGCTATAGAGGACAGACCAGCCAGCTGATCATGGGAAGTGCAAAGTAAGTAGGGTAATTGCTAGGATGACTGAGATTTTACTTGCTCAGCTCCCACGCTTGTCGTGCTAAATCCGTTCTCTGCCTCAACAGATGGGCTATAGTCTGTTCCCTCCGCGAGCCGCACCCAGCGCTCCAAATTGGGAATAACAAACGTGAAGTGGCGCATCTGCACTCCGTTCCCTGGTGCTGTGGTGAAGTCAGTCCTTTTAAGTTAAGGAGAACATGGTAAATGATCAGTGTAACACTTTGAAATAACAGGTTTAGCACTGTTAATTCACTTTATAATTACTGTAATAATAATGCTGACCTCGTTAAATATTAACATTGATGCCATAGGTACTTGTGTAGGAGATCTATCGGGCTTCAGGTCTAATTAGCTGGTGACTTAAAATACCATCAGCATGGGGGGTGTGTTTAAAATAACAACAAAAAAAATCTGAAATACGTG